GGGGCTGAAGGTTGAGCTGATGCGCTGCGTACTGAACCGCAAACGGCCACAGAAAATGGGGGGCAGCCGCATGGATCATGGACGCACGAGCGACGTCCATGACCATGCCAATGCGGCGCTCAGCAATCCCATTTTGCTGTGGAGAGGCCGGAAGCGTGAAGGTCTGGCGGATGCCCTGTGCACGACAGAAGGCTCCCAGACGGGCAGAGGAAAACTCCCCGCCTCTGTCAGAGTGCAGACGCAGAACAGGAAAGTCCGAGTCGAAACTCTCTCTGAGCTGGAGACGAGCTGCGCGGATCCAGTCGATCAACACCTCAGTGACGTCACCCTTGCTGCGCAAGGGGAACACCGTGGTGTAACGCGAGTAGTCGTCAACCACCAACAGGAAGTAACGCTCGTGACCCTGGCCACGGACGCGGGCGGGGCCCCACACGTCCATGTGAAGAGTCTGCAGCGGAGCCTCTGTCGGAGGAAACTCGGAGGAGTGAGGGGCGGCGCGCTGTCGCCCCTCGACGCAGGGGACGCTGGTAGGGGCAGGCCCGGGAGGTAGGGGAGGGAGAGACCGGGGGAGACCAGAGACAAGGACACGGGAGGCCCTGCCTCGGAGACGAGGCAGGGAGGGGTGACCAAGGCGGTGGTGCCAAAGGAGAGTCTGGTGGGATAGGAGACGACACGAGCAGGGAGCAGACTCAGGACCAGACCTGGACGCTGCAGCAAACACCTGATCCGACGCAGCTACCTGACTAGACTCAGCAACCGGAGGAGACTTAGTAGTCAGTGTGTACAGGCTCGACCCCCGCCGACGGGTAAACGTGGCCAAGTGTCGGCGCGTCCGCGCACACGTACAGTGGGTCACCCGCTGACTCGCAGGAGTGAACTGGTCAACCCCCTGATCCTGTAGATCAGCACCACTCACCAAGTTCGTATAGAACGAGGGGAGGTAGAGACCTGACAGGGTGCCAGAGGTGGCTGCCGGACAGGGTAAGACAGTGGAGAAGCGAGCAAGGACAGGACCCCCAGAGGGGTCCGCCAGGGAGACTGCAACCGGCCGACTGAGCGGCGTAAGCGTGGTGCAGTCTCGAAAGAAGGAGCGGGAAGCACCCGAGTCAAGAGTGAAGGTGTGTAAGGCCTGAGCCGACGTGGTCCCTAAGAGAGCAGACTCACCAGCACTTGGGGCAGCAGACGCACTAGCACCTAGAGCAGCAGCCTCACCATCACCTAGAGCAGCAGCCTCAATGCCCGGGTCAGGCGGAACACACAGGTAACAGTCACCCTCATCACTAGTAGGCAATGCATACATGGCAGTGAGGATAGCATGATAGTCAAGAGCATAGATATCTACCTGCAGCCGAAGCAGCTCCACCCAGTCGGGGAGCTCAGCCGCGTCGCCAAACTCCGTACGCCAAGGTTCGCTCAGACGCGCGAAGCAGCGGGACTCTGCGTGACCAAACGTCCCGCAAGGCTGACCAGTCCGAGCACCAGTGCGAATGACGTACGGACAGCGAGCAGTACCCCGTGACCCGTCACGATGAGCGTACCACTCACGAAGCTGCTGGGGCGAAAGGACCGCTCGCGGACGACGTTGAGGCTGCACCTGGCCACTACACGCAGCTGCAGAACTACTCACTACAGAACGACTCCCACTACGGCCACCCCGACAACCCCAACAAGCGTACCACTCACGAAGCTGTTGGGGGGTGAGGGACTCACGCGGGCGACACTGGCGCTGCATCTGGCCACGTCAGGAGTAGCAGTAGCAGTAGAAAGAGCAGCAGCAACAAGAGCAGCAGTAACAGCAGTACGGGCAGGGCAGTGCTCACCAGTGGCGAGAAGGGCAGGCGTACGACGGCGGCAACGGCGAGGCCACTACCACTGTAGGGCGAGAGCTCTGCGACAGCTGCAGGGGTGGCTACTCCAGTGGCGGCTGCTCCAGGGGCGGTGGCTGCAGTGGCGGCTGCTCCAGTGGCGGCTGCTGCAGTGGCGGCTGATCCTGGGGCGGCTGCTGCAGTGGCGGCTGCTCCAAGGGCGGCTGCTGCAGTGGCGGGTGCTCCAGGAGCGGCTGCTCCAGGGGCAGCTCGGCTGCTGGGCGACTCGGCGGCTCAGCTGCTGGGCGACTCGGCGGCTCGGCTGCTCGCTAGGGGCGGCGACGGGGCCGGGTAGGGGTGGCGACGGGGCCGCTAGGGGCGGCGACGGGGTCGCGTAGGGAGGAGAGCGGCGACGGGGCCGCGAGGGGCGGCGACAGGGCCGCTAGAGGCGGCGACGGGGCCGCGTAGGGGCGGCGACAGGGCCGCGTAGGGAGGGAGGAGGCGACGGGGCCGTTAGGGGCAGCGACGGGGCCGCGTAGGGGCGGCGACGGGGCCGCTAGGGGCGGCGGCTGGACCGCGTAGGGGCGGCGACAGGGCCGCGTAGGGAAGAGAGCGGCGACAGGGAGAATTACATTCCGCTGCCCTAAAATTTTGAGATAAACTTCAAATTTGCCCTGAAAATCAGGGGCCTCTTGGATATTGTTGTACCCTGATGGCTCAGGATCAGGCCCTCAGATATCAGCGTAAAACACGCTGATTACGCTGATTTTGTAGCTCAGATTTTCGTTTTCCCTGAAAATTCAGCATACCTGCTTCAAATTTGCACTGAAATTTCAGTATAACATACCTTGCCACACTGGCCATTTTCCGTGTTGCTGTACAAGTAACACTGACGAATCAGTGTAGTGTCGTGAGTCACACTGAAACGGACTAGACCGATTCGGGGTGGTACGCGTGTGTACAGTCTGTACCTGGCCCGGGATTCACGAGACCCCACTAGGCTGTGCCTGGCCCGGGATTTGCTGAGACCTCACTCACACACTTAGGGCGTGTTCCTACACCTCGTATCAGACACATCTCGTCTCAGCTTCGCGTGGTTAAATAATGTTTCAGTGTGTTCAACTGCGGTTGGATGCATTTTAGTGCGTTTCGACGCGAATCTGATGCGAGGTTGCCTGATATGAGGCCGTAGGAACACGCTCTTAACGATGCATGCGCTGTACAGATCGCGCGCCGACGTGTTCTGCATCGCTGGAAGGAGCTCTCACAGCGACAAATTTTGAATGGGAAATTCAACTTTGTATTTCTTTTGTACACTGATGGTTCAGTTTACTTATAACTTTTACACTGGCAAAATCAGTATAAAGAAAACCATGAACGCTGATTTGGACACCTGGGCGACCGGGGCACGCTGATCCATCAGCCTACCCTCAAACCAATCTGAGGGCCTGCTCAGGATGCCTAACATCCACGCACAGGCCCTGATCAGTATCCCATAATAGAGCATACTATGGTACAATATGTACAACCATAGCCTCTGAAGTATTACATACCTATTTCAGTGTGTCACAACAGAGTTACTAGCACGAAGACTACCGCAGCAGACCTTCAATGTCGCTCACTCTTCTCTATCTTAACCAAGCATCTTATTCTCACTTTTCTATTAGCTGCCCTCCTAGCTGCCCTCCTAGCTGTCACATGACCTCACTTGTGCCGCTCGTCAAACGGGTTGCTCAGTTTCATGTTGATGTTGATGCTGATGCTGCTGACTCCTCAAATCCCCTCCCCCCACCACCCCCGACACCCTCTCCCCCGTCCATGTCTCCAGCACCAAGCTTTGAGATGTCTCGAAGCTTTTCTCCTCACGGCGTTACTTGTGCCGCTCATCAAACGGGTTGCTGAGGTTCATGTTGATGTTGATGCTGATGTTGTTGATGTTTCTGATCACACCAACACTCTCTCCCCTCTCCGTGTCTGCTGCACCGTCACCCCGGCTGCTGCTACCACGTGCACCACAGGTGTTACGATTAGAAGCACTACAGTGAGGCGGATTAGAAACACTGTACTGAGGCGGATTAGAGGCATTGTAGTTATGCAGATTAAAGCTGGAGGAAGGGGCTCCTGCAGCTTCTCTGGCAGCAGCAGGAGTGGAAGCAGGACCGGGACCAGCATCACCAACGCCACCAACAGCAGACCCAACAGCAGTCGCAGCACCAGCAGAAGCAGCAGCGCCACCAGCAGCAGCAGAGGCAGCAGCAGGAGCAGAATCACTCACAGGCTGAAGGGTGCTGCGCTGATTGGCCTGCTTCACCCTGCTCTTCCTGCTGCCACCCGTTTTGGGTGCCGAAGATGACTGACTGGCAACGGCAATGTGGTGCTGGCACAGCAAGAAGCCCTCTCTTGCCATGCGCTTGCACACCCACCCCTTGCCGTCCGTCCTGCTGCATCTCCTTCCCACCCCCTGCCCGCTTGCACCTGCTCCTACTCCTGCTGCGGCTTCACCCCCCCTTCCTGCTCCTGCTGCGCCTGCTGCTGCTGCTGCTGCTACTGCTGCTGCTTGGCCTGATCCTGCTGCTGCTGCCGCCCCTGTGAGCGCTCCAACTGCCCCTGCTCCTCGCCCTGTCCCTCTGCCTCTCCCTCCTCCCCCCTTTCCACCTTGAAATCTCCCACTCATATCAGCAGAAGAAGCAGCAGCAGCAGCAGCAGCAGCAGCAGCAGAACCAGTCGCTGCTGGTAGAGACCGTGTCGCTGCAGCCGCAGCTACAGCCGATGCTCCTACCTCTGCTGCAGCCGCCGCCGCCGCTGTCGCTGCTGCCACTTCCACTGCAGCAGAGTGCAACGCGGCATTCGACAGAAACGCCGATGCGGAAGCACTAGCAGCTGATCCAGCCCTCCCAGCCGCTCGAATCACATCAGAGAGCCCCAGTGCCAGCATAGCTGCGTCTTCAAGGCGAACCTCCATGCCCCACCTCCTGCCGCCTCCTCCCTGCACTTCCCTGCTGCCTGCTTCCCCCTGCCCTTCCCTCCACCCGCCTCCACTGCTTCCCAAGGACTGCACAACAACCCCAAAAGGAAAACTGCTGCCACCGGCACCAGCATTGCTACCATCCCCCGCACCCCCTCCTCCTCCTACTCCTTCTCCTCTTACCCCCCATGCTGATTCCCCTATTCCTACACCCCCTCCTTCTACCACACTTAGACTTCCTCTGAGTCCACCCAGTTGTTCCGCTTCTTCTCCTCCTCCTCCTCCTCCTCCTCCTCCTCCTCCTCCTCCTCCTCCTCCTCCTCCTCCTCCTCCTCCTCCTCCTCCTCCTCCTCCTCCTCCTCCTCCTCCTCCTCCTCCTGCTGCTCCTCCCGATGCTGATTCTCCCACTCTTCTTGCGCTGCTAGCCCCATTCAGGTAACCAATGCCCGATTGGAACAGTGGAAGGGTGGTTGTTCTGAGGTTGTGGTCACCACCCGCAAAGCCTGAGGCAGCAGCAAGGCCAGCAGCAACAGCAGCAGCATGAGCAGCAAGATCAGGAGCAGCAGCAGCAGCGAGAGCAGCGCCACTTGCACCAGTAACACCGAAATCACGAGAACTGGCACCAGCAGCAACCGCAGCAGCAGCAGCAGCAGCAGCAGCAGGTGTCAAGGGTGGGACTCCTTGCAAGTCAATCGCAGCAGCAGAAGCAGAAGCAGAAGCAGCAGCAGCAGCAGCAGGGGATGCATAAGAAGAAGCAGCAGGGTTGGGCGGCAAGGGAAGACCTAGAGAGAGTGAAGGGAGAGAAAAGGCAAATGACGGCGGGGCAGATTGGAGGACTGGCCGCGTGGGAGAAGGGGAGAATGGGGGAGAGAAGAGAGGTGCCGGGGGGGGCGGGGCAGAAAAAGTGTTGGAATCTGGGAAGATTGGGAGAGAGGGGCGTGGGGAGAGGGGTGCTGGCAGTGGGGGTGGGGGCGGGTAGTGTGAGGAGAGAGGGGATTGGTGTGGGGGTGGGGGAGGGAAGAGCGAGGAGAGAGGGGATTGGCGTGGAAGTGGGGGTGGGAGGAGTGAGGAAAGAGGGGATTGATGCCGGGCGGTGGGCGGGAAGAGCGAAGGAAAGTGGTGTGAGTGTGGGGTTGGGAGGAGAGGAGAGAGATGGACCTGGTTGGACCAGCCTGCATGGGAGAGTGCATGCGGGAAGGATGGCGGAACGGAGCTCCCCTCAAAAGGGGGTGCTCGTGTTGCTGGTGGTGCTAATGGCTGGGTGGATGGAGGGAAGTCTGAGGGCGGGTGGAGTTTGCTTGGCAGTGCTCCTGCTCTCTCCTCCTCCCGCTGTTGCTCCCGCTGCTGCTGCTCCCGCTGCTGCTGCTCCCGCTGCTGCTCCCGCTGCTCCCGCTGCTGCTGCTGCTGCTGCTGCTGCTGCTGCTGCTGCTGCTGCTGCTGCTGCTGCTGCTGCTGCTGCTGCTGCTGCTGCTGCTGCTGCTGCTGCTGCTGCTGCTGCTGCTGCTGCTGCTGCTGCTGCTGCTGCTGCTGCTGCTGCTGCTGCTGCTGCTGCTGCTGCTGCTGCTGCTGCTGCTGCTGCTGTTGCACGCTCCACCTGAGGTGCTCCAGGAACGGAGACTCAATGAACTGACCCGCACCCAGTCGTGCATCGCGCGCACTCGAGTCAAAGTGTTGCAGAAATTGCTCCAAGCTGGGAGTCGCCTCGGACCTCCTTTCTGCAGCTGTACCAGTAGCTGTGCCGACACCAGAAGCAGCAGCAGCAGCTGCACGCGGGACTGCATTCGGGATGTAAGAACAAGCAGCAGCAGCAGCAGCAGCAGCAGCAGCAGCAGCAGCAGCAGCAGCAGCAGCAGCAGCAGCAGCAGCAGCGGCGGCGGCAGCAGCAGCAGCAGAACCAGGAGAGAAACCTTCAGATGCCCTGGCAGTGCCAGTGCCTCTCCATCCTGCTACTGGCGTTGCTCCTCCTGCTACTGGCGTTGCTCCTCCTGCTACTGGCGTTGCTCCTCCTGCTACTGGCGTTGCTCCTCCTGCTACTGGCGTTGCTCCTCCTGCCACCAACCCCCTCCCCTTCTCCACACCAGGCCCCTGCCCTGCCACTGACGCTCTCTCTCCTTCCTTTATATTTCCTTTCCCTGCCACGAAACTCCCCCCCAGAGTCAGGGCGAGACCTTCGTCGTCAGCCAATTCCATGGCGCCACGTGACCTACTCACAACCACACTGTTCAGATGCGCTACCTGCTTCGCAAGCTGGTGGGTTGCCGCCCCATCCCCATCAAAGCCGCACGTCTCCCCTTTAACCCCCTCGCCTTCCTCCCCCCCACCAGGGTCCCACCGTTGCAACTCACCCCCATCACCCCCCCACCTCTCCACCTTTGCCCCTTTGTCTCCATCAAAACCGCACCTCTCAGCCTTTCCCCTATCACCCCGTGACTCCTCTCCCAGTTGCGCTCTCAATCTCTCTCCCACTACTTCTCTTGGCCCCACCCTCAAACCCCCTCCCTCTTCCACTCCCTCTCGCTTTTCCCGCCCCTCTGCCTCATGCCAACGAAACAGCTTCAGGGCTGCGCCGCCCTCTCTGCCTTTCCCCTGCAAAAAGAAACCAATGCTATCTCCAATGCCCATTGCACCACCCGTGCCACCGTCACCACCACTGCCAGCAGCACCAGCACCAGCACCAGCAGCACCATCACCAGCAGCACCATCACCAGCAGCACCACCACCGTCTCCCTGCCTTGCTACTGTTCCGCCAGCCCCACCAATTCCAGTTCGCTGCATCTGGACATCTTCTCCGCCCCTCACTGCACTCGTCCTACCCCCTGCAAAATCTCTGGCGAAATCCCCAGCCGAGTGTCCTGTTCTCGGGTACATTCTGATCGCATCAGCTCCTATCGAGCGACCTACTACAGGGTGCCGTGGTGTAGGTTTCTCTCCTATAGCGTCTGCTCCTAATGAAATCGCTTGTATAGGGTGATCTGCTATCGGATCAGCTCCTAACGCGTCCGCTCCTATCATATGCGCTGGTACAGGGCGCTCAACTATCGCCTCACCTGCTATAGGATGCCCGCCAAGCTGCCTGTGCCAGCTGGCAGTGAGCATAAGGTCCATCTGCGCTAGAGGGCTCACATCTATTCTCCGCTGCTGCTGCTGCTGCTGCTGCTCACGGTGGGTTGACTCATTCAGCGCGGCTGTGGAGAAGCTTGCAAAAACGTTTCCAGGCGTCTCAACACGCGCTAGCGGCCTGATGCCTTGGTGGGTGGAATCGGCAGGTGCGGATGCGAGAGAGGGGTGCACCACAGGACTGGAGTCTCGGCTGTGCACGTGCGGCACCTGTGCAGGGAAGGGCGCCAAGGTCGTTCCTGAACCACCCTGTGTGAGGGGCAGGGACCTCATGGATTCTCTCTGCTGCGCCGTTCGAGTTCCCTCGGGAGTCATCAGGCCGAATGGGGACAGAAAACTTGCCCCTGCCCCTGCCCCTGCCCCTGCCCCTGCCCCTGCCCCTGCCCCTGACCCTGCCCCTGCCCCTGCCCCTGCCCCTGCCCCTGCCCCTGACCCTGCCCCTGCCCCTGCCCCTGCCCCTGCCCCTGCCCCTGCCCCTGCCCCTGCCCCTGCCCCTGCCCCTGCCCCTGCCCCTGCCCCTGCCCCTGCCTCTACCCCTGCCCCTCCTCCTGCGCCTGTCACGCCTATGGAATGTAGCTGTGATCGGATGCGATTCAAGGAATGAAAGAACCGCACACTCTCAGCAGCACGTGCTGCTTCTTCTGCCGCTTCTGTTGCTGCTGCTGTCGCAGCCTCTTCATCGGGGTCTGCATCAGCGGATTTCACGCCCTCCCCTTGCCCGTACCCACTCTGCACTGCCTCAGCTGCCACGGGCTGTACATGTGCCCCTACGGTGCCGTGTGTTCTACTCACTACAAAACTGTTCGGTCCGGGTGCTAGTACTGAACCACCTCCTATGGGGGATACCAAGCTTTGCGCCATAGTCCACCCCCCCGATAATGGACCAGGTGACATCATGTGGGAACCTGAGCGCTGGCGCTCATGCGGTTTGACAGGGCTATGGGAAATCGCAAGAAGATTCGGATGGGCCTTGAGGGGAATCTGGGAGAGCTCAGATGATCCCTGATGGGTTTTGATGGGGCTTTGGGTGCTGCGCTCCTGCCACTGCCTTTTCACCTGCTTCTTCCCTTCTTCCTCCTCTGTGCTTCCGAGACCTTTAACCTGCTGCTGCTGCTGCTGCTGCTGCTGCTGCTCGTTCTCCCTCCAATCATGCACGTTTTGTTGCTCTTGCCCCCGTCCCAACTCCAACCTGGGCTTTTTCCACACTTGTTCCCCCTCCTGCACAGCACCCCCTACTCTCTCCTGCCCAGCACCCCTATCCCTCCCAACAAGACTGGCTTCCCAACCTTCCACGTTCTCATCCAGACCACGCTCTCCCGTCCCCCCAAGGGGTTCTTGTGCACTCTCAAAACCGGCCTCGGGCCTCTCCACCCCGCCTGCCTCCGCTCCACCCGACCTCCATATCCGTCCAAGCCTCTCACCAGACCACCAAGGCTGCGCTCCCCTCTGCCCTTCCTGCTCCTGCCGCTGCTGCGCCCCTTCCTTCCTTTGTCCCTCCCCTCCCTGCCGCTGTTGCATCCTTTCCTCTCTCTGCTGCTGCCAAACCATCCGCTCTTCCTGCCCCTGCCGCTCCTCTCGCCCCTTCTCCACCCTGTGCTGCTCCTCTCTAGCAGAAGCAGTACCAAAAGCACATGAAAATCCACCTGAGGCAACAGAAGGGGCTAGACTCAGTCCTGCCTGCCTCCAATCACCTCCGCTGCCCTCCATCACTCCGCTGCTCCGTTCTCCTCTGAGGGGAAATCCTGCTGAAGCGGAGAGCGAGCTAAGGAAAGGGCTGAGACGTGGGAAGGCAGGTGATGACACATGCTGCTGCTGCTGCTGCTGCTGCTGCTGCTGCTGCTGCTGCTGCTGCTGCTGCTGCTGCTGCTGCTGCTGCTGCTGCTGCTGCTGCTGCTGCTGCTGCTGCTGCTGCTTCTGCTGCTGCTGCTGCTGCTGCTGCTGCTGCTGCTGCTGCTGCTGCTCGTCTCTCTCGTCCCTTTCATCCCTTCTGCAAGCTTCATCCATCATCCTTTCCTCCACCGCACCAGCTAAGCCATGGTCAACGCCAGCTACTGTTTCCTCTGCGCCCCCAACTGCTCCGCCAGCCAGAAGCGACGCACCAGGCGATTTTTCAGGTGATGTGTCAGAAACGTTGAGGTCCATCGCAGGGGGGCGCATCTCCTGACCATAACAGACAGGTGCGGGAGGAGCATAGTTTATTAAGCAAACCAACAAACAAAAAAAGGTAGAGTGGAGGAGGCAGAGTTGGAGGCTTATTTAGCCTCCACCAAGAGAGCAGTTTTCGGGGAGGCTAAACAAGCATCCCTTGTTCATGCTTTGACAAGTTTGGATGCCCCATGCAGGGGTTGGATGTCTTGCAGCAAGAGTGCAAGTAAATAATGCAGGAGCAGTGTGCTGGAGAGAGTATTGCCATGCGAAAGCTCAGAGGGTTACTTGAGTGCAAAAACTTGCACCAGCATATGCAAAAAAAACAGGAAAATTTTGAAGTCATAATCTTGCACCAGCATATGCAAAAAAAACAGGAAGTTTTTGTATTCCTGCTTTTTTATTCCTGCTTCTGGATTATTGATCTCCCAGGCGTGGCTCAGCATCCTTTTTTTTAGCATCCTTATCTTTCATCGTCTCACCATCATCATCCTTCAGGAGAGCATATCAGCCTCTCACTTTCTCAAATCCATCATTTTGATGCCTCCAATACCCATCCCCATCTTCAAAACACATTGAGTAATCTTCATTATAATCCCTCACCTCCATTCTCCCTTTCTGCGGTGGTCCTTATCCCTCTGTGTGCAATTGATCAGGTAGCCTGGCAAAGACCAAAGGAGAAAGGAATGGCAAGGAGGCAAAAAGTATGGCGGAGAATATGGAGAGAGCACGGCAGAGAGATGAGAGCCATGGGAAATCCATGTCCATGGACAGGTCATGAGCCACGTGGGCAGACGCTGGCAGAGATATGGTGCATGCCGCCACTGCCCTGGAAAGGCCTGGAAAACCAAAAACGTTATCCATCACTACCGGGTCATATCGTGCCATTCGCAGTCTATTCCGCGCATGTTTGAGTCCTGGAATACGTCGCTATTATATTTTCAAACGTCGCTTTTGTGGCCTTTTTGAGATGTAATCCACAATTACTACGCTAGCAGATCTGAAGTCCAATTTCTCACATGTTCCTTTCCGCGGCTTCACCATGCTGTCTGGCCCCAAGCCGATCGGCTTTCAAGCCGAACAAAGAGACGCGACTCGCGGACCTGTCATGTTCCTGTCCTTGAAAAAGGTAGCGCTACAAAAAAAAAAAAAGAGTTTTAATATGGATTCACGAGGAAACGAGCGTGGAGCTATTCTTCACGGAGTGCGCTTCTCGCGATGTGAAATTTTTGCACACAATTTCAACTATCTTGTTTCCCTTCAGATCTTCCTCGAGAAGTTCTTCGCTTCTACGTACTTAGGCTGGCTATTACATGGTGCAACATGTGGTCGTTTCCCGCGCGTTCACATGCTCCGAATAAGGGTTCGTGTTGTCAACCACTTCGCCAGCGTACTTGCCTGAGAAGTCGGTCCAAGGCACCTAGGTGAACAACTTACGATCCAACGCGGCTGGCATAGTGGCAAGCTTGGAGCTGAGGGGACCAGCAGTTTCCCGCACTTGTGTCACATGTGCTATATTGCCACCGCCTTTGGCTGAGGACTTTTATGTTATCTGATCGCCGTATGCGATGTGACTTGTTGGTTACCAATAGCGGGTGGTCATGCTTCGATTGCAGGAGCAGGTTTGATCTGTGAGATGTGGAGAAGAATGAGCAGTGCCGTTGGACACCTCCCACGCGCAATAAGATCAGCTCGGTGGCGATTCTGCGGGAGGAATCCACAATGCACCATTGTGCTTGGGAAACGTGACTCCGGAGATATTTTCACGGGGCAGACACAAAAAAAGAGTGAGACAACCCATTCCAATGCTTGCGAAACTCTCAACTCACATTCGTAGCAGCCAGCCCATCTGTTTCTTGACACCCTTCTTCCACACACACTGCAGGGTTTGTACACACAGTCCCGTCTGACTGTAATGAAAACTGTACTGTACTGTACTATACTGTGTGCACTAAATCGGGTCGCGACAAACACTAGGTTGTCTTATCAGAGGGTTACACCCACTCACAGTCGTTACACGCAGATCCCCATTGCAGCAACCGTGCGTGTGCAATGAGGAATCACTTGCCGGTTCTGCCTCTGCGGTTTCCCTCTCACATCCATTGCCCAGCAAAAAAATAGGCAAAATATCATTCGCCGCCGAGAATGAAATAGTGCGCAGCCTGGGGCTGGTGGAGCAAGGAAGTCATAAACATTCTTTCCGCCGAAATATATCATGCTGATTGCATGCCGAAAGTTACAGGTGGCGTTTGTCCACTTTCAACGACCGGCAAAGAGTTGGGCATCAGGCAGGTAATCGACGTGGCATGCAACCAGCGGCAGGAGGACAACCGCGGACTCCAGGAAGGAGCACTCTCTACGCAATGCAGGCGCACGCGCCACTTCTACGATTGATTTCGATCGAATGACGTGGAGAAATATTCATATCGTACTTGGACTGGATCTGGTCTCATTTACGGAAGGGGTAGTAGCTGTGAACGTAAATGAGGAAAGGGCAGCTTATTATCCAGACAGACGGACAGGAAAGGGCTGGTTTGGTCTATTATCCAGGTTATATGCTTATGCAAAAAGCTCCTCGCCCACTGTGGGTTCCACTCTCCCGTTGAGTGCAATGTTCCTACCGGCATCAAAGTCCACTTGTAGTAATGTACCATAGCAGCATACACTTTTCTGGGGATGACTGGCGTCAAGCCTCAAATCTTGGATACGTTGCTGGCGGTTGTAGGCAGTACGAACTGTATTTCCAAGAATCCGCACCTTGCCGCCCCACTAAGTGTGCGCTGGCAGAGCCGAATCTTGCTTGGTCGCTACACTTCTCCGATATTTCCACACCATTTATCTTCACGCCCTAGGGTACCTACCCTCGAAAAAACCGATTTCGAAGGTAGTTAGCAACGCTCGAAGAATTCTCAGGGTTAATGTAACACAATCTCAATGCGAGCTAACGCAGGAACAATCTGGCACTGGAATTTTCCTCGCTCACTCGAACTACAAAGTTCGAGTTTCGAAAGGCCTTGACATGTTGGTTATTTTCTGATAGACCCGCAATGTCAGGGCGTCAGTCTCATCAAACCTTCAACCATGTAGGGTGTCTGGGAAGAATCAAAGTTCAGGGTGTGGAAATATTGGAGAACAGGTGTAGTTCTTTTGAGGGAGGACAAAACACTTGTCGAACCATTACACATGTCTCCGATAAGTCCACGCCCGTAACCTCTGTTTAGTAACACTCCCTATCGTTCATTGATTTGATACGGCAGACAACCAAACACTTATGGACTCTCAATGTAGTGTATAGCACGCACTTTTAGGGGTACATATACTAGGTTGTGACAATAATGAGTGTAAAGTAATTGGGGACCAAGTGTACTTTGTTTTCAGCCATTACGAGGCGTAAGGCCCTTGGCAAAGATGTCAACGGTGTTGGCCCCTTAGGCCAGGTGCACTATACATGACTGGTCTACTGATGTAGCTCGCGCAGCAGGAAGTACCGAAGCTGGATGTGCTTCGCTTTGCCTTCTAGTCGAGGCTACTACTGACACAGAGGGGGTAATGGCCCTGGTATCAGTGAACAGAAGGGATGCAGAGCGAGGCGGCTCACTTAAAACACTAAGCAAGAACGTCAGCTATTATAGCTTATATGCAGCCATAGCGCCAGCGTAGATCTCTGCCTCACAGCTAGACTGTGTCATCGACAACGAAATCTTTAATCACTTTCTCTCACCTTCCCTGGTAAGATGGCATGATGGCTGTTACAAAACAATGCACTTGTGTTGCACTGAAAGCACCAACATTGTTGTTGTTGTTGTTTTTTTTTTTTTGACAAACCTAATAGTACCTAGTCAGCAACTTCAATATGGCGAAACTTTGCGTTACGAACTCTCCTCATGTACAGTGATTGTACACTGTTTGCACCAATTTACAATATTTGTTAAAAGCCACAAACCAACCAACCGTTATTCAAGGTGCGTTCCTACACCTCGTATCACATATACCTCGTATCAGCTTCGCAAGGTTGAATATGCTTCAGTGTGTTCGAGTGTGGTTGGATGCATTTTAGTGCGGTTTGACGCGAATCTGATACGAGGTTGCCTGATATGAGGCTGTAGGAACACGCTCCAAGTGTACTGGAAATGCTTTTGCCGAAGGAAGCAGGTTTGACTAACCTCAATTGAAACCATGGGTTGTTTTCGGCTGTCGCATCAGCTGATGCGCCAACAGGCTTGGGGATGGTGCACACATCAGCTGTTTCATGGGTTGTTTTCACTGGTCCGTTGGCCCTTGGGTTAGTGTTCAGGACGCCGAGCAGTTGGGCGTCGAGTAGCGGGGCGTCAACTTCGTGATGCCAGCTTCGGGTGGCCGACGTGGGTGGTCGGCCGACGACTGTGTTGGTCGACGAGGAGCAGGTCGACCAGGAGTGCTGGTCGACGTGGAGCTGGTCGACCAGAGGGGATGTCGACCTGGAGGAGGTCGACCGATGGTGTCGTCGACCTGGTGAGGTCGACGTGGAGGTGGTCGTCGACTTGGGAGGTCGACGGGCACGTACGGGAGCTGCTGGTCGACGTGGTTGCCTGGTCGACCAGGTTACCTGGGTGACGAAGTGCTGCGGAGGAGTGCGACGGTCGCCCAGGCGAAGTTGGCGAGCCCGACCTCGGTGGTGGTATCCCGAGGTCGTCGTGGCGGATCAGAGGCAGTCGTCAGCTCGAGGTTGACGTGGTGTGTGCGCTGTGCAGGTGACAAGACTCTGCGTGCCAATCATCTGCGCACAACTGCGAAGCAGGGTGCACTGCTGTCCTGCATGAGCAACGCTGTCACGCCGTCAACCTGCGACGTTGGCACGCCGTCGACCTTGCCTTGCTGGAGCGCGGTCGACGAAGTCGTGCTGGAACGCGGTCGACCAAGCTGCGCTGGCAGTTGGCCGACCTGAATGCTTGCTCTGATGTAGTCTTGCATTGCCAACTTCATTGTACCCATTGTTCTGAACTTTTCCTAGTGAAACTCTTGCCAATTTTCCC